GGCGCTCGAATTAAAAAAATAAGTGGTGGACAATCACCACTAGATTTGGCAATTGAGTTTCTTAATCTCCAGTCGCCCTTTAAAAGGGGGAGTATGTAAGATATTTTCTTCTTTCTTCCAACATGTCCTCGTGGTGTAACAGTAGCATAATTGGCGCATATTCGAGGGGTCCAGGTTCTAATCCCTGAGACGCCATTGCAGATTTTTCATGTATCCTGCTTCCAAATAACGTAACGACTGTACAACTCTAAATGTTATTTCCAGCAAATTCTCCCAATTACAAAGCTCAAAACGAACGTTCTGAAGGTAAATTTCGTAGCACAGAAGTGGAATGATCAAAATTACTTGTAAATATTTTATAAAAGTCCTTCGAGGTTTTTTAATTAATAGATAATTGATCAGAAGTCTTTACTACTGAAAGTGATCATGTATATTTAATTTGGTACATGAACATTGAAAAGTATCTCTGTGTTATAGTTTTTAATTTAATTCTTGTTTATGTAAAAGATATTACTTTATTTTTAATTAGCCTAGTTAATTTTATTATTAATCGTCTGAAATTTTGGAATAGTTTTTACTCATATGAAGAAGGTCTCAAAAACTGAGTAAAGAGAATAAATAGAAAACAAATTCCCATATAAAAAGAAGTCGAGTTCGAAAAAGAAATCTTGCTTTAAAAAACCCTTTCCTTCATACCCGAAATAACTCCCGAGAAAAAGAAAGCTTCACGATCTTTCTTTAACAGAAAATTTAAATACTGTAAAATCATGTTATGAATGCATTTTCCTGAAACATCTTCGACTTACTGACAGACATCTTTTCTGACGTCATATCGGCGGCTGAAGAACGACGTTGACAACTTTAATCATCGAATGATAAGCGACTTTAACGCAAGGGTTGATGGGGTGCCGAAGAAACTCTTCGAGGTTTTCAGCTAAATATAGTCATATTAGAGGTATTCAACCTCCCCATCTCCATCGTTATTTATTTAGGTCTGGAAACTAAGCCGCAGACATGATTCACCCCGTCCTCGTCCTACATCTTTTGGCCCGGAATGGAAGGGTTTGCTGAAGGCAGCTGCTCGGAGGTGTCTTGATTAATCAGATCCGAGGGCGATTCCCTTACATTTCCTGCACTTGTCGATAGCTGCTAATGGCTTATCGGGGGGCTGAAAACTGTCATTCACAGCTGCAGACCAAGGATATATGCCAAGCACGTTATGAATGCAACATAAAAATTTATTTATTTGCTTACTTACTGAAAGTTTGATGTGACCTTCAACCCAATTAATTAATAATAGAACTTACGTTACTATTCGGTTTTGAGAGCTGTAAAAAATCGCCAAACTATTGTTGATGCCAGTGGTGCCAAAAATAATTGCGGCAACCCTAACGCAAGAATAGAAGTATAACAGTAAATAATTATCTAAGATTGATGTTTTAATTTAGATGAAAGGTTAATTTCATATAATACTTTTTGTTATTATAATTTATATAAAAAAGGCTAAACATGACTGAATGGAAGCATAAGAGTCAATAACTATTTCAGATCATTACTATAACCTATGTAAAAATTGCTAAACATAACTGAATGGATGCCTGCATCGCTATTTCGCTACCGAGTTATCGCTAAAGCATAATTTCATCTCGTTGATTTTTCAAACATAATTTTCTATAATGAATGATGCCTTTTCTTTGAAAGAATTCTCGGTAAAGTGCAGAATCGCCCAATTATTTGTTTGCCGCTTTTTACAAAGGTAAAAGCAATTTGATTTTTGTCAATTTTCTTTTACTTTTTAAGTGAAAATAGGTCGATGTGTACATAGATAAAATCAAAGGTGTGCGCAGTGGTATTTTTATGCAATTCTGGGATTTTTTTTTAAGTGAAAATAGGTCGATGTGTACGTGGACACCGAGTATGTGCAATTCTTAAAAACGCGTCAAGCCATGGGTGATTTTGCACTTTACCCAAAATTCTATTGCAGACTTTTCGTCATGGGCAATTCCCAAATTGTTAAATCCATAGGATATCAAAAATGGGTTTAAAAATCAAACTAGTATTTCAATGTCGTCTTGAGAAATATAGAACTATATAAAAGATAGATGAACTGAGAAAAGACTGAAAAAATATTCGAAAAGCGTATGGCAACACTTAACACTGCATCGGAAATTTTAAAGATATGCGCAATATACTCCTTTTAAAATTCTTGTAATTTTGTTGTTGAATTATATTTGGCATAAGAGCGAAGAAAACGATGCTTAATATTAAAGCTAGCAGGAGTGAATGCAACAGCAGACTGGTAGACTGTGAGCTCAACGAGAGCTAACAAATCCGTTTGGGCGATCGTTAAAATCTGAACTCTTTCAGACACTTTTTTAATTATTTTCGTTTTTACCATTTTTCAAGGAATATGTACAGAAAAATGTATTAATTTAAAAAAAAAAAAAAAAAAAAAAAAAAAAAAAAAAAAAAACGTACATATTCTAATGAGGAGGAAAGTAGACGGATATGAAAAAGAATAATAATTTGTCACGTTTTTTTCATTTATATATAAATTCATGACAATATTTTTAAACATAAAATTTATATATAACGTTAATAGCTTTCACCTTGTATACAGTTTTTACCTTTTCATTTAGTATAAAGTAATTACGTTATTGTTTGCAATGAGCAAAAATTAAGTAAAAAATTACTGTTCTCAAGGAAGACACAAAATGTTTAAGATAGCTAAAATTACTACAGAAATGAAATATTTTCCTTCTGCTCTAGTTTGAGCTACTTTTACAGTTACAGTTGCAAGTTTATTCCATTAAACCGATGCTTTAGCGTCGATTTCATTTACACGCATTGAAGCTATTTCGCATTAAAAAGCAAAAGTAATATCAAGTGTTATACTTTAAAAATTCTTCTTAGGAAGCTCTTTCCGATGCAGAAGGGTAAAACGTTGTCCTGCGCCTTCTTTTTTTGAAAACAAACTAGGCATTAGGTGTGAAATATTGTACAAACAAATGTATTTTATACCATCTTGTACCATTTTATACCATATCTTGTGATTAATTAAATTGTTATTATGTATATCAAACTAATGAAATACTTTCAGATTGCTCTGTTTCCTCTATCTGTAGGGCCCACCAGCGGCCGAGCGGTAACGGCGCTGACCACTGGTAGTTCGGTCCGAGGCTCGAATCCCGCGAACGGGCTGGCTGCATAGGTGTTTTCGTGGCTTTCCCCATGTGTAACGTGTATACGAGTCAGTTTCCCTTAAAACGTCCTCCACGAAGGCATCCCTCCCTTAAGGCAGATAGCCCTCGAGTGCTTTGCCGTAATCTAATAAACCAAACCAAACCTCTACCTGTAGAGTGGAAGAAATAAAAAAAAAAAGTCTTGACTTTCTTTTTAACTTCAGTTGTTGTGACAGCATGATTCTTTTAAAGTTCTTTCTTGATAATGAGTTATTCTTGAACACTTATATGCAGGCATTTTATTTAAAGAAATAAATGCAAACTCATCGTGCAAAACGATATGACATGATGCTATAATCAGCATGATACTTAGAACTGTAACATAGCGCATTTTAAATTTTTAGTAAGGTTGAAATTTATATATTTTGTTAGATCTTTTCAATGAAAAATCTGTTTGTGAATTAAACTCATATTTCCCAGTTGAGCATTGTTTTCTAGCCTCGGGCGCATTTCTGCCTGAAGGATCCTTATAAAAAAATGAGAAAATGAAAAAAAAGTATGTTTTAAAATTAATAACTCTTTAAATCAGAAGATCTTATTTTATAAATATATATTTTGTTAATTTATATTTCAAGTTTTCAGCAAAAGCTCACCAGCGACCGAGTGGTAATAGCCACTGAACTCTGGTAGCTTGGTCCAAGGTTCAAATCTCGCCAACGGGCTGACCGCATGGGCGTTTTCGTGGTTTTCCCCATGTGTAACGCGTATGCGAGCTAGTTTACTTTAGAAAGTCCTCCACGAAGGCATCCCTTCCTTCCGTGTAGTGCCTAAGGGCGAAGCACATAAATAAACAAAAATAAGTATTCATTAAGGGGACTCATACACCTTAAAACCCATAAGATCTTCGAATATGTGACTGTTGCAAGAATTGGGATAACTTATTTATTTTTAAAAGCAATTACTTCCAACTTTTTACAGCTGACTACATAATATAGCTGCTTTCTGAAATAATAATCAGAAAGGTTGTGTTGCCACAAATATTTTTATAATTTAATCCGCTTTGTGACAAAATATTTCGTCAAGTTTCCACTTTGCGCGCACAGTTTAAAACATTCTGTTGCATAATTTAGTTCCATATTTAATATATAGCTTTTATAACATTTGAAACCTAAAATTCTAAGAATTTCATGTTAAATTTTTATTTTATTTGGAGTTGAGTTTATAAAATGTATTTTATTAAAAAAAATCTGTAATGTTTTCGCGCATAAATTTTTTAATACTAAAATATTCATCAAATTTTTGGTTCAATTAGAAAATAGTGCCCATATAAAGAATTCCATTAAATTTCAAGTACGTACCATCAGCCATTTTTAAAATATCATGCGCGCAAGGTGGAAACATGACGAAAACTTTTGTCACAAAGCGGATTAAATTACAAAAATATTTGCGGCAACAGATACCTTCTGGTTACTAGTTTCTAAAGCAGCTATATTATGTAGTCAGCTGTAAAAAGTTGGAAGTAATTGCTTTTAAAATAAATAAAATATCCCAATTCTTGCGAGAGTCACATATTCGAAGATCATAAGGGGTTTAAGGTGTATGAGCCCCCTTAAAATCATTATGATATCCTCAACTTTAAAAAGCATACGATAAACATACTCGTATTTATAATTAAATTATTACTAAAATAATTTCTTTTCTGTCTACAGTTTTAGCATGGAATTGGAAACTTTACCTTGAAATAATTCTTATATCGTCAGAATCAATGACCCTTCAATCTTGAGACAAATTCATTACATAATTAATTCCTTTCTTCAGGTACTTTTAGCTGTGGAAATATCTACTCAGGAGAGGATTGTCTACAGGAATTTCATTCCAGCGAGTTTTAACTCCATTCGATTTCGACTCTTTTAGTTAATAATGGAAGAAGACAGCACTCCTTCAGAATCCCCAACACCGTGTAAAACTCGCAGGCGGGATGACGTCTGGCCACCAAAAGTAAGCATATTGAATCATCCCAGAATATATATTTTTTGGTCATTTAGTGGTTATTTTTGTTTCAGATTGGCATTTAGGTTTTCAGCAGGTTAATTTTACGATATATATGTAATTGATTGCCGAAGTTTGACAACAGTGACGGCATAAATTTGTCAGTCTAACTGAGAAGTGCAACCAACAGGTAACAAGTGCAAGAAAGTCAGAGTTCTACGTAGGCTGGATTTTAATAGTGTATGGACGTTAAGTATTTTGTGACATTAAGCAAGATACTGTACTCCAACAGAAAATACTTTCATTGCTCGAAGTTTCAAAAATCACACACAGCATTAGTTCTCGAATAATTTTAGCTCTAGGTACACGTATTCAGCACACTTTTTATTACATGGCACAATATTTTACGTTTCTTCTGATTTCATTGCTGTTACAAAAATACCTTAGTTTTTTTTTTTTTTTTTTTTTTTTTTTTTTTTTTTTTTCATGGTGGTACAGCTATTCATTTTTGGGGCACAAACTTTGATATTCACAAATTTAGAATTCGCAGCATGCACAAAAATGTGCATGTAAATCATACCTATGCAATTATCTATCTATGAGTGAATTAAAAATCAAGAACATTGTTGTTGAAGAATACACTGAGCATGCTGGCGAGGATGTGACCAGAATTAGACAATGAGAAATTTGCTGTCTGTCGTGAAATGAAAAATGCCCACAACTGAAAATTTCTATTACTTTCTTCCCTGCCAATTTGAAATCTTGATACTATTTCGTATTAGAGGTAAATAAAATTACAGTAAGAACCCGCTTAACGCGGGGGATACGTTCCATCAAAGTGGAACGTAATGCGAAACAGCGCTAAACGAGGCTATCTTTACATGTAAATATTGGGGTTAGGGGAAGATGGCTAGGAAATTGGTTAGGTATTAAATTTAAAAAAGTATGTTTTTTAATAAAAATAAAACCAAACATTTATTTCTTAAAGCCCAAATTAATACCACATTATTATTTCTTGCAAAAATAAAAACAAAATATAAATAACAAAACGAATATTCTTAAAAAAAAAAAAAAAACAAATAAAATTCTCAGTCATATTTAGTTAGCCTTCCGCGTTTTCAGTGTTCTGCCTTTTTGTGACAAAAGCATCTAATGTTGTTTGCCTTTTTCTTTTGCGTTGTTCTCTTAAAAGTTCTTCATAAACGGATAGAGCATCTCTAACACCACGCCTTACTTTTGAGCTCCTGTCAAAATTCGGATCATTTTCAATGAATTGATCCATTATTTCAGTTATGGTAGACAAACTCCTTTTCACAAACGCCATCGAAAGTTCTTTTTGCTCTTCTTCTGAATCACTGCTGTCAACATTTCTGTTTTCTTATTGTTCAGTTAATTCCTGGAGCTCATCATTAGAAAGACTAGCCGCTGCTTCTTGAATTATTTCTTCGACATCTTCCACATTTACCCCTTCAAAATATGTCTGTACAATACCGCACCAAACAAGAAATACAAGTACACTCTTTCGGATATGTATTTGAAACCTATCGCTGCATAATATTTCGAGGAATCCCCGTATGCTGCGAGCGATTTCTTGGAATCGCCGGGTTGAAATAAAAGAGAGCTAAACCGAAACAGCGCTAAACGAAACAGCGTTAAGCGGGGTGTTACTGTATACTACTACACAAATCTTCCAGAGTCACTTGTAGGCTGTCGATAATAATTTCACATTAGTTTACCGTGGTGTGATATACTCTAGAAAATCTGGCCAGACCATCACTTGTAAATAAAATTTTACTACTATAAATTTCCGAAAATCACTTGTAGCTGTCGATAGTAATTTGACACTTCTTTACCGCTTTGTGATATATTAGGGAAAATTTGGGCGAACCATCATTGGTAAATAACATTATACTGCTGCAAATCTCTGGCAATCACTTGTAGGCTGTTGATAGTAATTTGACACTTCTTTACCGCTTTGTGATATATTAGGAAAAATTTGGGCGAACCGTCATTGGTAAATAATATTACAATGCTGCAAATCTCTGGCAATCACTTGTAGGCTGTTGATAGTAATTTGACACTTTCTTACCGCGTTGTTATACATTCCAAAAAATTTGGCCAAACTATTATTATCCATAGAAGTGTTCCTATAAAGCTTTCCAGTTCCTTAGAAGCATCTCTATTCACACAGCAGAAACTTAAAAGTGCAGCAGAAATTCACTATTAAGAACAACTTAAGCTTTTAAAACTTTTACATTAAATAGAATGAATAAATATAATTTGATCACTTTCAAAATAACATTTTTACAAGCGAAAATTTGTGTATTATTTTTATCAGATAATTTAATGTTTTTGAAGGAACAAGAAATGTAATCTACTTGAGAGTACACTACAAACTTGATTAAATCTTTATCTCTAGGAAAAAACTATGAATTGAGCTTTCTTTAAGAAAAGATGAGAATTAAAATTGATTTTCTTCCTTATCATGACTGACGGAAGACATGACAAAGTGCGTTATTCTAGAGGAAAGAAACAGCAGTGGTTTTTCTTAAAATGAAATCACATTCTTTTCATTTGAAATAAACGATAACGGCTACAGTTTGAAAATTATGAACGATTGGAGTCCTTGCCATAATAAAAGATTATATCTTTCAGAAGAATTGAATGCTTATAATGGAGCTAAAATATAATTTTCCGAACTACTTAAAGAGGTTCTTTTGTATAATTGCTGCATTTTATCAGCTTTGTCTTTCTTTCCCAATGCTTTAGATGCGTATTTTTCCAAACATGTTACAGCCCACCAGCGGCAAAGCGGTAAAGTCGCTGAACACTGGTAGTTCGGTTCCGAGGTTCGAATCCCGCGAACGAGCTGGCTGCATGGGAGTTTTCGTGGTTTTCCCCCCAGTTTCAGTTGCGTGGTGTAACGTGTATACGAGCTAGTGTTCCTTAGAAAGTCCTCCACGAAGGCATCCCAATCCCTTAGGCAGATAGCCCTCGAGGCTTTGCCATAATCACACACACACAAACATGTTACATTTTTCAGCCACTTACGTAGAACGCAAAATTAAAGAATCTTGAACTAAGAAATGTGCTATCTCGCATTTACGTTTCTCGGACAAATGCGTGCCAAAGATAAATTGAATGAAACTTTCGTCCGGTAGAAAACGAAAGAAAGCGTGCAGTTTAAAAAAATATTCAATATTGATATTTGAAATTAATGAACATTAGTGAAAATCATTATTGGCGCGATTCTGAGGTATACTTCGAATGTTCAAATCCGTTGGCAAGGTCCTGTTTTAAGATATGTTTTAAGTATTAATATAAAATTCTTGCTTTTGCTATTATAAGTGAGAGAAATGCTTTATAAGTGAGTTTCACAATGGTATTAAAATGATTCCAGTTGTGAAAACGAAATTCCATTCAGAACTCCTCATGCAAATCAAGCTATAGAACATTATCTTGATAATTTTAAATGCCATGTTTTAAAATATAACAGCTTTTTTAATATTTATTTATATAAGATTTATATTTTGTCATAATTATATTTATATTTTTTACTTAACGATTTTCCACTTTTAACTAAGATTTTATTTTTTCATGAAAAGAATATTCTCATTTAAAATATACCGAAGTATCATTTAAGACACTAAATGAGTGAAAATAATTGCTAAAACTTCTTATTCTCGACGAAATTATGACAGTAATGGTACCAATTTGTTTTTAAAAGAATTATTTTGCCGCATTAATTTTATAATAATCTTTAAGCAATGAAGGGAAAAAGAACCTCTAGTTATAAAGAAAAACAAAATAAAAACACCTAAAATATGCAAATTAAAAGAAAAAACAAAATAAAAACACCTAAAATATGCAAATTAAAAGAAATAATAAACTGAAATTATTCTTATTGTTTTGGGAAATGGGAAATGAACATTTCTTAGCAAAATATAGATTTCATTGCTTAATAAAGTACAATTGCTACATCTTCAAGGCAAACCTCGTCTACAAGAGATGCCTAGATGTACAACTATGTCTTAAAAGATGAAGCTTCCCCCCCCCTTTATTAATTGCAGAAGCTTCCACTTAGTGTTAATTTACGATATTATAGGATAATGGTGAAATATCTTTTTCCCTGTTGCTTGGCAACGCTATTTTGAGAAGCTAGTTTTAAATACATGATTTTGATTTTTCTGTATCTTGATTTTTCTTCATTGAAATTAATGAATATTAGTAAAAATACTTAATAGCGTGTTTTGAGATGTGCTTCAAGTGTTAAAATCTGTTGGCAAACTACTGTTTTAAGATATTTTAAAAATGTTGCAATAATATTCTTGCCTTTAGTATTATAAATGAGATAAATTCTTTATGACTGTGTTTCACAATGGTATTGAAATGTGACCAGTATTCACAATGGTATTAAATGTATCAAAATGTAAAACTCTTTCAAGTGTCAATATGGAATCTGAATATAATGAATAGATTGCAGTTCTTTATAAACAACACATTTAACTTTAATTAACATATTGTTATAATGGCTTTACAATATTCAGCCAATATAAAAAAACAATTTTTTAATTTAAAACCTTAACCATTTCCTACTAATATATATGTTATCGACATTAAATTTCAGAAATCTATGAAACCTTACATGAATTTACAGTCGTTAATCTGTTTACAAACTATGAAATTAAAAATTTTGAAACATAATTTACAGAAACAAGAAATACGTTGAAACTGGAATTCAAATAGAAATCATTCTTACTGAAATAAAAATAATATTGAATTCATTCATAATGTTCATTCATTCGTTCCATTCCATTCATAATGAAAAAATCTTACGTCGAATTGAAAGATATTCATTCGATGATTTATGTAAACTGTATAGATATTTATGGAGCAATCAAAATGCTTTATATTGTTAAAGTATCATTTAAGCTTCTAATCCATTATTTTGTTATAATATCCCTCACTGTCAGTCTCCTTTCTGCTTCTCTGTCGGAATGCAACTTTCTAATTGGCCTGATATTCACAGGAGGTAGAAAATAGAGGGTATTTAAAGGAAAGTTTTAGAGGGTAAAAATCAAAGGGTGTTCTGCCCTTTTGAAGACCACGTTGCTAAATTTCTGTTAATTAGTATCCTGCCATTAGGCTCCTACGCCGACTTCTAACAGAGCTAGCTTGCAGTCTAGGTTTTCTGTGAAGGGTATACAGTCAAAAGTCTTTAATCCAGACTCGTCGGGCTTTCGACGATTCCGGATTATCAATCATCAGTTTAAATCTGGTAAGATGGCATGCAGAAATTATAAAATTAAAAATATGAAACCGTAATTTATAAAATAATGAGCAATTATGATCTAAAGGGTATAAATTTACAAAAAAAGAAGCTTAATATTTATTTGTTTACTTTATTAAACATTTCTTTCAATGCGCGCATGCGTAAAGCATACATTACGCATAGCCGAAATTAGAAAATGGCAACCAGAAAACTATTTGATTTGTATTCGTGATATTTATAATGACGAGGAATTTGATTTGAATCATATCAAAGACGGAGTACATCGAGATGAAATACTACATTTAGTAAGGAATTATAAGCCGAATAAAACAAAAACATCTGCCCTGAAGATAACGATAGTGCTGACAAATCAACTTCCAGTTCATTGCGCTCCACGACGTCCCCCTACCCCCGCGCAGAGCAGCGTGAAATTGATAAACAGATTTCGGAACGGTTAGATAAACAAAGGATATGCCTTTATCCATTTTTTGTAGCTATTCCACTTTTTGTTTGATGGACATCGAAACATACTTTCGTTTTGTAGATCCTTTGGGAGCTCCAGCATAGGAAATTCCATTTGACATAATCGAAAGTTCAAGCTTACTTTTATAAAATTGCTCTTACAGTGTGCAAAAAATAATAAGCCGGATCCAATTCGAAGATTAAGGAACAACGCAATCATCAACATTAACTGAAATAGATAATTAGATAATTTTAGCTTATACCGTCCGTTATACATTAAACGCGCACGCGAAAACGTATTCTGCGCTTGCGCAGACGCATATGCGCAGTCGTAAAGGTCTTGCGCGCACGCGTAAACACCTATTCGCATGCGTCAACGCGGCGCATGCGCAGAAATATTTTGGCTTTGAGGTCCGGATTATAGATCATTCCGGATTATGGGTGTCCGAATTAACGACTTTTGACCGTACTAAATTTCATTAGTTTTAGTTCATTCCATTAGCTCTGATTTAAGCCAAAGATATTGGCTTCTGTAAGCAAGAGTTGGTGCCTAGTGTTAAAATTTACTTAAATAGAGGGTTCTTTACATCCTTTCCCTATCTCTGTGGTACTTATAAGGCATAGTGATAATTCACAAACTGTCTTTTAAAACTTCTTGTCAAATTTTCATGCTCCTATGAAGGCGAGACTCTATAACATTATTTAGAGAATCACCTAACCATAACAAATTATATAGATTTTAGTAAATTTCAGAGAATGGCTGTTGATGAAGAAATGAAAGTGTACTTTTCGGGACCTGACTCGAAGCAAATTTTTACAGGTCTCATGTATACAGAAGGTCTCAAATATAAAAATAGAGGCGAAATTAACTTTTATATCTATTATTAGAATGCACGTATAAAAATTCTTTAAAATTTGCTATTAAATTTCACATTTTACATCATGTATGCTTATGAAATTTACTCTTTTTTTTTTCAGTCTTCCAGCGTCAGATATCTGCCTAAAACTGGATTTTCTCCAACAATAATGCGAGAAGGTAAAAAATGCTGGTTATTAGTTGATCTTAAACAATGTTTGGAAATTTTATGATGCTAACGTATAGAAGGTTCTTATGAGAGTAAACATAATATAGCATAAAGGGCCGGATTATTTCATGCATCATTCTTCAAAATTTTAATTTAAGATTTGGAATTCTTTCTATCTCTGGAGTATTCAAGTTTTGCATTCAAAAAACAAGTTCATGGCCATTACATTTTACCGCTTAGAATAACTCAACGAACTGGAATATTTAAATCCTCTCTCTGTCTGCAAATTTGTTTTAATCTAAATGTATTCTCTCTTGAAAACATTTGAAAAACTCTTGAAAACATTAAATTTTTCACTTATAAAACGATGTTCTCAATTTTAATTAATGTTTTAAAACTCTTGATCTTAATAATGTCCAGATAGCTTTTCCGAAACTTTCAAGTATGTAGACTTCATTTCAACATGTATATATGTAATAATAAAATTCCATAGTCAAGAATACACTTAAATTTCTAACTGCATGTTCTTTTCATTTTTAATGGCGACGGTCTCTTATTTGAAAGTACGTGGAATTAAATTCACAGCCCCGTAGTCAAGTTGTTTTTCCCGCCTTTTCTACACGTACAGTTATAGAATGTTCTGGAAATATTTAAAGCGAACTGGATTGGCTGACGTCATTTTTTGGAAGCTCCGCCTTTCCAGAGGCTATAAAAGGACTCGCAAAAGAATATCGGGGCTTTTTCTTAAATGTCACGATGCAGTAAACTTCATACAAAAAGTTATTAGTAATTCTTTTTATTCACTCCGGATATCTGATTTTGTAACTGCTATTTCTCTTGAATAATAGTAAATGGATCCTGTTTTTTTTTAAACTTATCGTCTGATAATTTAAGCTACGACTAAAGCTGGTCTATCATATATATATATATATATATATATATACATGAATTTTAAAAATATATATATATATAAAAGAATAAACAGTTGTAAGGATTATGTTAATTTTATTAACAGTTAAATTTCAAGTTCCTTTCCTGTCAAATTCCTAACTTCAACTTACTACTTCCGGCCAGAACGTAGTTTTGGAATCACTCTGAATACTTAATGAGGAGGAGCGGTATTTAAATCGCGAAGTCTACTTGCAGAGTTCGAGAGAATCAGAGTTTCTGCCGTACTCATGCCCTTGATAAGCTTCATAGTCAAATAGAGTTAAGGGGCCAACTCGATTAGAATCTTAATAGCTTCGGCTATATTTCTTTAGTTAATCTTAGTTTTAGTTTATTTCTTAGTCTCTTAAGTTCAAGCCCAAGTGTCGGCTTTGATTGTACACTCCAAGACGGAGTTTTGTTAAATCTTATTGGAATAATAAAGCGTTAGTTACCCTTCCATCTTGTTGTTTCTTGCTACACGAAGTTAAGCGATTATTCGTTAACTAGTTCTTAAGATTCGTTACTTTCTACAGTAACTGAGAAATACACTAGGGAGAATCTTACACAGTTTCAATGTTTAAGGGGACTCATACACCTTAAGGGGACACATACACCTTAAAACCCATAAGATGTTCGAATAGGTGACTGTTGCAAGAATTGGGATAACTTATTTATTTTAAAAGCAATTACTACCAACTTTTTACAGCTGACTACGTAATATAGCTGCTTTCTGAAGTAGTGATCAGAAAGTTTGTGTTGCCACAAATATTTTTATAATTGAATCCGCTTTGTGACAACATTTTTCGTCATGTTTCCAACTTGTGCGCACAGTTTAAAACATTCTGTTTCATAATTTAATTCCATATTTAATATATAGCTTTTATAACATTTGGAAACTACTGTGAACCTAAAATTCTAAAAATTTCATGTTAAATTTTTATTTTATTTTGAGTTGAGTTTATAAAATGTATTTTATTAACAAAATTTTTAATATTTTCGTCCATAAAATTTTTCAGTATTAAAATATTTATCGGATTGTTGGTTCAGTTAGAAAATAGTGCCCATATAAAGAATTCCATCCAATTTCAAGTATGTACCATTAGCCATTTTTAAAATATCGTGCGCGCAAGGTGGAAACATGGCGAAATATTTTGTCACAAAGAGGATTAAATTACAAAAATATTTGTGGCAACACAAACTTTCTGGTTACTAGTTTCCAAAGCAGCTATATTATGTAGTCATCTATAAAAAAGTTTGAAGTAATTGCTTTTAAAATAAATAAAATATCCCAATTCTTACAACAGTCACATATTCGAAGATCATGAGAGGTTTAAGGTGTATAAGTCCCCTTAATTTTAGATCTTTGCAACTCTGATAAAACTGTGATGTGTCTCAATATTTTGACTTGAAAAGTTTATAAGGATTTATTTAGTTTCGATAACTACTTATTTTATGTTAATTTCTTTTGCTGTCTTTCTGGCTTTCGTTTTTCCTATCAGAATGCAAATTTCTATGATAATGGTTTCTATTAAAACGATATTTAAAGAAAGACTTTAGAGGGTAGAATCAGAGCGTGTGTCGCCTGCTGAAGGCCACGTTTGGTAATTGATTGAGAGCTCTGTATCTCTGAAACTGCGTTATTATCGCCATTAGGCTTGTCACGCCGATGTTAGATGAGCGAACTTGAGCCTTTCCCTGTCTGTGTAGCTGTTGGACTTACTTAGATTTTACTTAGTGAAGTTAAATACGTTACTTTTTGATTCAAGCTATAAATGCTGGCTAGCTCTGTAAGCACGATCAGTGCGTTCTGTTAACTTTTTTTTTATCTTAGTTAAATAAGAAGGTCTTTTACACCCTTCGTTCATTTCTGTCATAATTTCAAAAGCATAGGTATAAGTCACTTTAGTCTTTAGAGTTCGCCGCCCAACTGGTATAGTGGTGTCGCTAACTACCGTGCCTAAGGGCTCGGGTTCGACAGAGGTGATGGAATAATGCTTTGGGCTGGGATATCTCTCGGTGGCCACACTGACTTGCATGTGTTCCATGGAGAAACTTTGACCGGTGTGAGATACCGAGACGAGATCCTTGATCAATATGGCCTCCCATATGCCGCTGCTATTGGTCCTGGATGTCTTCTGATGAACGATAATTTGCGAAGGCCCCGAGCTCGGGTTGCTGAAGAATATCTTTAGGGTGGTATGGAACGGATGGAATGGCCAGCTCAAGCTCTAGACCTGTATCCGATAAAGCATCTTTGGGACTACCTTGGGAGACAAGTTGCTGCTTTAAGTCCTCCTCCAAGCTCGTGAGATGGGCTTGAACAAAGATTACTCCGCGTCTGGTCGTTGCTTCCCATTTCACTGTCCGACAGCTTAATTGACAGCATGGAAGGTCGCTGCCGCCAATAGTCTTTAGTCTTTGTCTTTAGAGTTCGCCGCCCAACCGGTATAATGGTTAGCATCGCTAACTACCGTGCCGAAGGGCCCGGGTTCGACAGAGGTGATGGAATAATGGTTTGGGCTGGGATCTCTCTCGGTGGTCACACTGACTTGCATGTGTTCCATGGAGAAACTTTGACAGGTGTGAGATACCGAGACGAGATCCTTGATCAATATGGCCTCCCATATGCCGCTGCTGTTTGGTCCTGGATTTCTTCTGACGAACGACAATGCGCTAAGGCACCGAGCTCGGGTTGCTGAAGAATATCTTGAGGGTGGTATGGAGCGGATGGAATGGCCAGCTCAAGCTCTAGACCTGTATCCGATAAAGCATCTTTGAGACTACCTTGGGAGACAAGTTACTGCTTTAAGTCCTCCTCCAAGCTCGTGAGATGAGCTTGAACAAGGATTACTCCGCGTCTGGTCGTTGCTTCCCATTTCACTGTCCGACAGCTTAATTGACAGCATGGAAGGTAGCTGCCGCCAATGTATTGCAGTTAGGGTTGGACACATTCCTTATTAGAACCCATTTTTTTGCAATGTCACCACCCCATGTTTCCTCAAAAATCTGATATACTCTTTCTCCAAGACCGTATTTCTCTGCAAAGAGTGCAATTTTTTGTTGTAATTCATGTTTGTGGTGATCTTTAGAAACATTTTATGTCGCATTCATTAAAGAACTGTTTAGTGAACCTGTCCTGTAAATTTCTTGTTTCTGTTGCTTAGTTCTCAAATTAGTCTTAAACCTATGCTATTCCTTAACTTTTGAAGGGCAGTGTAATTGGGAGCATTCATTAATATTTTTGTTTATTCTTTTATATATGCCACCGGAGAAGGCATGCGGCGAGTCGAAAGTCTTGTCGTGTGGTTTGGCAGGAGACCTCTGACCCGTCTATCAAAAATTGGGGTTGAAACTGAGCTAAATCTCACTGATTGATAGGGCAAGACAGCTGAAGATTATACTGCTATCAAGCACCGCACAAAATTAGGTCATAAAAGAGACTACAGTTACAATAATACCAATCTTGTGCCACCCACTCTCAGGATTAAAGGTTTCTAGCCCAGAGGGCCATAAAAACAAGAACACTAAGGAACTTTAGTTTGTTACCAGTAACTCCTTGTGCTCGTTTATATAAAGTAAGTGTTTTGGTAAGAAAAATTTCACATAGAACAGCGAATAACGGAGTTAAAGAAGTGTTTGATGAAAGGTCCGTAGATTTGCCAGTGGATCGATTGCATTTCCAGAACAGAACATGTTATACTAAGCGGATAATAATGAAAATAAATAATGTTCACACATTCATTCAGATACTCTCCACCCTAGAGGTAATTGCTGCATAATTTGGAAACGGGAAAAAACGTGATATAACAGTTTACCATTCTCGAGTGGGACAATTACGAATAGTACAGCATTTTATTTTTAATTATAATTGCTTTGAGTTTTAGAATTGTTTTCCATTTGTTACTGGTGAAGCTGAGAAGTCTTTAATGTAATGGCAGGAAGTTCTTGACCATCTTGTGAGACCATTACAACCGCCGCATATTTTCCCAGTTTAATGAAAGATAATAATACCATAAACATCTAAAATCAGCCAGTAGTCTGAAGATCATTGAATTCAGAGAATGAACTATTCAGGTCTATTCAGCTCCAGAGTACAGCAATTAAAATCAACCAGTAGTCTGAAGATCACTGAATTCAGAGAATGAACTATTCAAGTCTATTCAGCTCCAGGGTACAGCAATTGAATATGTGCGACCACCTAAGAAGCCACACAACTAACCCCTCACCTCCCCTTGCGAGATAACTGAATGAATTGCGATGGGAGCTGTCATACGTGAGCTGTGTCTCCAACTGATGGGTCTGGTACCTTCATTGACAGCATACAGAGCAGGCGTGGAACTTGTAATTCACGCTATGAAAGGCGATATTCAATACAGAAGTTTTTTGCGATATATTTAAAAAAAAAGTTTTTGTCATCTTTTCACTTTCATGAGACTTTTACGATTACTTTACAGTTTTTTTTTTTTTTTATCCTCTTTTTCTTTCCTCAGAATTGCAAAGCATATAATCATTCCAAAATACAATAAACGATTGTATTATCTATATCTGTTTTAACTCATTTTTATGTACTGTTTTCTTTAATATTATGGCCTTTATTCTAGTACTTTTAGAAAACAGTTTGTACTCATAACGAATAATATCTCAACAGGATACTTTTGAATTTTATTCAAATAAAATAAATATTTGGATCAATAATTTATATTATTATTGCATAAAACTAAAGAAAAAATCCTAAGTTCACTTTTAATTTCTGAATGAAACACTGCAGCTGACGATGTGGTCTTGCATTCAAATTTTATAATGACGAAACAAAAAATGTTGCATATTTTAATTTCATGTACATTGTAACGCGCAGAATTAAAAAATTGAAGTACAGGATCGTAATAACAAGTAGAATCAGATTGTGTTCCTAGCACGGAATCATCCCATTTTTCAATGCGTCTGTTGTTAACATATCCAGATAGCAAGTGTTACTTTTATAGTTCGAATTCTGGCGGAAGCGCCACCAACAGCCAAACGGTAAAGTCGCTGAACATTGATAGTTCAATTCGAGGTTCGAATCCTGGCGGCGAACGGGCAGGCTGCATGGGCGTTTTTGTGGTTCTTCCCATGTATAATGTATATGTTACTGTGAAAGACAGAAATTGGAGAATGTCGACTATCACCGGAGAATGTCAACTTTCACCTAATACGTTGGTGAAAGATCGAATATTGCATTACATTTTTGTACATTCGGACCCTCACCAGTGTATGTCGACAATCACAGATATGCTCTGGTGTAGGCTGAAAAGAGAGAAGTCGGTAAAGAGGCGACTGGCTGTTTCTCGCCAAATCCTTTGTTCTGATGGGAAGTTCCTTTGTTCAGCTTTGTCAGTCTTATGCAAGGTTTGATGGTGCAAGCAAGGTTTTATTAATTTTTTTTCGATACCCTAATTTATACTGAATGAATGCTGCAGTGAATAGTGATCTTTATCTTGAAAAATTAAATGCATTAATTGCGGATAAACGAGAAAACAATTGTTTTTATTTTTCTCAAGAAAAGTACTCTAAAATGCTTTCTGAAGTGGTTTCTGCTAAACCTAAGTGCAACACACCTTTTAACTTCTATTATTTTCCTTTTTCATTTTGAATGCACTGTGTGTTTTAAAATCTTAAGTTCTTATTTGAAGTCTCAAGTGCGTTTCTTCGCGATTGAATGACGGAGAAGAAAATATAATATTCTTATATGTTCAACATTCACCATTAGTACATGGTGAATGTCGACATTTACCGGTGTAAGTCAGAAATAAGAGTATTTGGAAAATATTTCGGACACACACCAAGCGATTATGTGAATGTTGACATCCACCGGTGAAAGTCGATATTCTCCAGATTTCGGTGATTCACCGTAACATATACACGAGACAGTTTCCCGTAGAAAGTCCTCCATGAAGGCATCCCTTCCCTCAGGCAGATAGCTCTCGAGGGCTTTGCCGTAAACAAATAAACCAAATAAACTAACCTGGTGGAGGCATGCCTGATTTCTCGCGCCTTTTGGCTCAAAAAACCTAAAAGTCTCTACTCTTATGTTATGCTGCATAAATGAAAATTTCGTACCCCATTGTTCAGATTATCCAGCACTTTAAACCGTTCGAATCACGTAAATTCTTTCGGATCATGTCGCACTTGAAATATAAAATTGTTTTGGTTCAAAATATATTAACATAATCGTTCTGTGTTTCCGAAATACTTTAATATCAATCAGAAGTTTAACGTTTAGATTTAGAGGAAAAAAAAAAAGATAAAGCATAAATTTCCTCTTCTAAACTCAGCAACATAAATACAGTACTTGTTACTGTATTCAGAAATTTCCTTGGATTCACAACCGAAATTCTTCCTCGCATTACAGAAAGCATTTGGTTTTCGCAATGCACAAGTTTTATTTCTAATATTCCAAAATATAAGAATATATACATGCAAATTTGAGTAATAACTACGTAATTTAGTGAAATATAGGGCAGCAATTTAAAATTGTGAATGAAAACAATTTGAATATTTTGAGAGTGAAACGTTTTTCTTGAGTTAATAAACCGAAAATATTAAAATTTATTTGTAGAATGCCATATTCCAAGCTCTGGTTACAAACACTTTCATTGAAAATTTTGAAAATGAAATTACGTTAATGTACAACAATATTTATTTCTTCTCATATATTAATGAAAGCAATGTTTCAAATTTAAACACGCTAGCAATAACTTGTTTTAGCAATGATCCACAATTATTACAATCATTTAACACAAGTAACGTTCGCGTTTGAGGCAAATAAGGCCTTTCTTTCAAAAATACACTTAAGTACACGAATTAATTTCTTCAATACAGTAATTGTTTTACACAATCATGATTTAAAAAAATCAAAATAACAAAAATTATGTTTGCAACAGAAAATAAAGTTACTATATTCTTTTAGTTGTAGGGTTCTACACTGAGGATATCTAGATTGCTTTTGGAAGTGAAGAATCCTAAAAAACTGATAAGCGAATAATCGCTTGAATTCGTGTACAGGAAATGACAAATAAGAAGGATTAACTATCCTTTTATTATTCCAAATAAAGTTTAGCAAAACTCCACCTTGGAGTGTACAATAAAGCCGCCACTTGGGATTGAACTTAAGAGACTAAGAATTAAACTAATAAATTAAAAAGTTTTGTTGATATACCACTTGTGGTAATGTTGGTTCAAGGAACGAATCACAGTTCAGATCTCAGTCCAGTATTTCGGTGTATTTGATTTTGCAATCTCCTTTTGTTTCGTTTCACAGCCATGATAAATGAAAATTCACAGAACTACATCGTTTAAGCTTTTGTTATAGTACTTGTTTTATTTGTTAATTTTTATGTGAAAGCTCTCATGGTTTTTATGTGCAATGTTTAATATAGAATACATAAATGATGTAAAGGATAAAAAATCCAAAGCTCTCTATCACCAACTTAGCTTGACTATATTGATTTTATTACGCTTGGAATATGCTGCATGCGTATAATTATGATTGTTCTTCAGTAACGCTGATATTACATAATAACAAACTAATCTAAACTAAAAGAGTTATAGCCGAAGCTATAAAGATTCTAACAGAGTTGGCCCCTTAACGTTTAATATACTGCGAAGCTATTAAAGGCCTAAAGTACGTCCGAGCGAAATAATAGCTTACGAGAGAGTAGCCTAAAAAGGCGGACGCGTGCTATCCAGAAATCTGGTATCTCTCTCCCAAGACCGAAGAACTTCGCGGTTAAATACCGCTCTAATCAAAGATGAGGTTGAATATATGATGAGGAGTCATCATATATTCAACCGTGATTCTAAAACTACTTTCTGGCCGGAAGTCGTAAGTTGAAGTTAAAGGTTTGATAGGAAAGAAGTTTAACTTAAAATTTAACTGCTAATGAAATTAACATAATCCTTACATAGTAATGCTATGAATTTTTCACACATATTATTTATTGAATATATAATTTTAAACGATCTGGTGTTTTATTGTTCTAATTGTTACTTTTCAGGAGGTCAAGGCAAAAAATTTATCTGGCCACCTCCCAAAGAAGGACAAGAGCATCACCTTAACGACGTCGACCAGTTACCACATGGCAATGTTGGTCAAGTATGGAATCCTGAAGCCAATGCCCTTGGCAACAGACCACCACCTTTCGCTCCACGTACAGCTCCAACAAAACGATGTACCGATGAGATTTGGCCCCCGAGAGGGAGTGAGTACCAGCCTGGCCATAAGCCATCTCCCCGTCCAGTAAAAACAGTTGGTAGGTTCGAGGACTACATAAAGTGCCGATCAGGACCTTCAGTGCCACCAACCTACAGGACACCTCCTGGCACACAACACATACAAGTAACTGAATTGGAAGGAGAGTATATCCACGAGACAAAGACTACCACAACAGTCATGACCAATAGCACTGCTACCAGGAATATAGTAAATCGACCTCCAGCTCAGACGGCGCCAGTAGCAAGGCGTGTTGAAGTTGAAGAAGAAGAGGAGGAGGAGGAAGAGGAAGAAGAGGAAGAAGAAGAAGAGGAGGAAGAAGAAGAGGAGGAGGAGGAAGAAGAAGAGAGTGAAGAAGAATAAGTAACGAACGATACCAAAGAAATTGAACTATGGGTGATACTTCGATTGAATGCAAAGAAGTGGTACTTTGAATGACTGCATATATGCCGATTTTTTAAATTTTCATACAGCAACCTATACAAATACCTCTGTGAAACTTGTTTAAAATCCCAAAGGAAAATGTCATGTTTCTTGGGTATCAGAAGTTGATGGACCATTTACGAGATTTTGGAAACATCCAATAAGTTTCAGCAATAAGTCAGATGCATAAAGATCTCATACTTGTTTTGATGGTTTTATACATTAAATACGCTTGGAAAAAAAGCTTTGTTTTGCTTGACGAAAATAGATTTTCGTCGTCCCATATCTTTATTGGATGCTAAAATTTTATTGATATACCTTTTGTGGTAATGTTGGTTCAAGGAACGAATCACAATTCAGATCTCAGTCCAGTATTTCGGTGTATTTGATTTTGCAATGTCATTTTGTTTCGTTTCACAGCCATGATAAATGAAAATTCACAGAACTACATCGTTTTAGCTTTTGTTATAGTACTTGTTTTATTTGTTAATTTTTATGTGAAAGCTCTCATGGTTTTTATGTGCAATGTTTAATATAGAATACATAAATAGGATAAAAAATCCAAAGCTCACTATCACCAACTTAGCTTGACTATATTGATTTTATTACGCTTGGAATATATTGCATAATAACGCCGATCTCCATATTAACGTTGATTTAGATATATCTTTACCTAGAGCGAAAATTATGAATTCAAAGATAATAAAATATTTACAACAAGTTTAGTGCAAAGAAGAAGTAAGAAAAGCGTAAAACTGTTTTATTTTTATTAAATATGTTACCTTTTAAATAAATGAACATTCTTTATGTGAAAAGATTTAATCATGAAATGATTTTAAATGATGAAATAAAATGTGTGAACTTCTACATTCACAGACTTACTGCGCTTGAAAGAACGCCCTTTCCAGGATAATTCTGTTATACTTTAGGGAGCTGAATGACTGTTCTTGAATTAAACTGACAAATTATAAAACATTTGATTTCGCTGCAGTAATCCCTAGTGCCTTCTTTGCAACCTGATGTGATGGAAATAAAGCATTCTGTATACATTTACCGTGAGTTTTTATTTTGCTTATTGTTTCAAAAAATTAATCTTTTAAAGTAACGGGTGGCCATAATTAAACTGACAGTGCTCACAGTGTTCTGTAGCGCGATCTATTTTCGAGAATGACGCCACATTTTGTAGGAAGATTAAACAAGACGGGAGACGAAGGATTCCGCGAAAAATAAAAATTAGTTTCAAAAGTCACCGCTAGGGGAATATTTGGCGCTGAGTAATAGAAAATAGAGTGTTAACAAATGCAAATCAATACAGAAATTACCTTTTTATTTTGCATTCAAATAAGGTTCAATGTGGGTGCCGCTGTTGTGCACCACATATTGCATTCTGTGCACAGTATGCACAACAGCAGAAAGTAACATGTCTGCAGGAATCTCCCGTACAGTCCGTGATATGTTATCCTTCAACGTAGCCAGGTCCTGGACCACTTCTTGATAGACCTTGGACTTAAGGTAACCCCATAGCCAGAAGTCGCATGGGGTAAGATCAGACGACCGAGGTGGCCATGCAGTTGCAAAGTAGCGGCTAATGACTCTTTCTGTTGTGAATTTCTGTCGTAGCATCTGTTGCACCGGTACAGCAACGTGTGAAGGGGCTCCATCTTGCATGAAAACGATTTTCCCCAGGCATTGTCTTTGCCGAAGTGCCGGAATGACAAAGCTGTTCAACATGTGGCGATATTTCTCTCCGGTAACAGAACAGGTTTCCGGTCCTGTCGGGGTAATGTTCTCATAGAAGAATAGACCTACGATAAATTTTATTCCGTATTAATTTGCATTCGTTAACACTCTATTTTCTATTACACAGTGCCAAATATTCCCCTAGCGGTGACTTTTGGAACTATTTTTTTCGCGGAATCCTTCGTCCCCCGACTTGTTTAATCTTCCTACAAAAATGTGGTGTCATTCTCGCAAATAGATCGCGCTACAGAGCACTGTGAGCACTGCCAGTTTAATTATGGCCACCCGGTACTTGTTTACCTTAAATACATACAACGAAAAATTATTTTTATTCACATATAGCGGAAACTTGAAGGATAATCAAGCTTATTCGCATATAGCGGGAACTTGATAGATAGTCAAGTTAATAGCGGAAACTCGATTTTCCATCAAATTTCCGCTATATATTATACAACCGTATGGCAGAATTTCATTTAACCATTTTTATTACACATCATTCACTGAGACATGGGCAGAATAAATCAAAAAAAAAAAAAAAAAAAAAAAAGAATGTAAATCTTTATAGAGATTACTTTTCACTTCTAATCTTGATTCGATCCATACTATGCAATATAATAAGGTAAAATTGGAATTTTATTATTGGCAACCCTTATCTGATAGTAAAAGAGAAAATTACATTGAGATTCGAGTTTTCGGTTTTATATGAATTTTAAAGTCTTAAATAAAAATTTGATGAAGTCATTTTACGGTTTTTGATCTCAAATGGACTAGAAGAACGGAACGTATTAATCGACTCTTGTGAAGCTTTAATTCATTTTCCCCTGATGAGTTCTGAATTGGTGGTTCAGTAAAAGGGAGATTAATTTTTATTTGTATAATTTTGTATGTTTTTCTTGGGAATTTTTATTTCTCGAGATTGTTCTAATATGAATTCTCTCTTTGATTGGATTAGTTTTGATATGGTGTTAAACCTTTTATACACGGTTGCAGTTATTATATTATAGAGGAATTGCCTCGGTTTTATTCCAAGTTACTGATTAATTTAGATGCTTTTAGTTTATTGTACTTATAGTTTATTGTACTGCATAGTTATAGTTTATTGTACTTATAGTTTATAGTACTTATAGTTTATTGTAAATACGGTTTTGGTATTTATAGTTAATTTATAGTACTTATAGTTTATTGTAAATACGGTTTTGGTACTTATAGTTAATTTATAGTACTTATAGTTTATTGTAAATATGTTTAGTTTATTGTTCTGCAGTTATAGCGCAGGACGAGTTAATTTTTTTTTCCTCTATTTTTTTTAATTCGAATTTTTAGCCTATATATATATATATATTTCTTTATATATATTTATATACTTTTGGTGCCGCAGATTGAAACCAAAATGAGAGGTGCACATCTAAATATTATATTTAATCATATACAAAATTTCTTATGTACAAAATTTTAACGTTCTGAAGCTACTCGTTTTTCAGTTATGCGAGATACGTACGTAACTATTTACAGACGCCACGAAAAAATCTCTTCAGAATTCCTTTTAAATCAGTTTTAATTTTTTTTCGGGGGAAAGAGTCCTTTATTCTGTCCTTACGTACAGATATCGCACAAAAACATCCTTAAATTGCATTCGATAGCTGTGAAAATGGATATTTTCGCTGAAATATGATACCCGGAATTTTTCGCGATTACAATACTTTTTACTTCGTACAAGGAAGTAAAACGAAATTCACAACTAAATGTTATAGCATTCTCGTACACAAAATTTTGATTTCGTACGGCTAAATGTCTTTGAATTATGCGCGATATATGCATTCATACGTACGTACAAACGTCATGAAAATAGATCCCTTTTGAAACCATTTTAAATCTGTTTTGAGCTCACCGAGATGATTATAGAGTGGGCATACACACACACATATATAAATATAAATATGTACATATATATATAACATATATATATGTTATATATACTTATTTACTAAATAACATTGATTAATTGATTATATTATCTCCTAAGTTTAATTATAGTAGAATTATCTTAAGGGGGCTCATACACCTTAAACCCGTTATGATCTTCGAATATGTGACTCTTGCAAGAATTGGGATATTTTATTTATTTTAAAAGCAATTACTTCCAACTTTTTACAGCTGACTACATAATATAGCTGCTTTAGAAACTAGTAACCAGAAGGTGTCTGTAGCCACAAATATTTTTGTAATTTAATCCGCTTTGTGACAAAGGTTTTCGTCATTTCCACATTGCCGCATGATTTTAAAAGGGCTAATGGTACGTACTTGAAATTTAATTCAATTCTTTATACGGGCACTATTTTCTAACTGAACCAAAAATTTGATGAATATTTTAGTATTAAATAATAAAAAAAAATCTGAAATGTTTCAGATTTTAAATTACGTCCAAAGGGGCGTTTTTTAACATTTTGTCTGTTACCTTTCTTTATTAAATATCATGTTCCTCGCACTTAAACCATAAGATCCAGTGCAACAGCAATATCGCAAAATAGTTTTAAAACGAGCATATCTTTAGAATTTCCGATACAGAGACTCACGCGCTGGAGATAAAAATGTTTTTTCTGCACAACGTTGCCATTGCTCGCTTTGAAATCCTTGAGTTTGTTAATCAAAAATTCGTCAAAGTTTTAAAAAAATAGGAAATCGATCATAAAACAAATTTCAAATTTCAAATTTGGTCTTCCACATGCTCATATTCGTTGGAGGATTACGTTATTCAAAATTCGATGACTCTATGTACCGTTATTTTATAACAATGTGAGAAATATACATACATTTACGCAGATTTTCATTATTTAATTTCTTCAAATATAATGCAGGACTCTAACATTTTATGGCAACAGTTTGAAAAGTGAACCGACATTTATCCGTCCGACGCAAAATGCCAAAACGAAACTAATAGTCCTTCGGGATTCAAATCCCTTTGGACTAAAAAATTTATGCGCGAAAACATTACAGATTTTTTTAATAAAATACATTTTATAAATTCAACTCCAAATAAAATAAAAATTTAACATGAAATTCTTAGAATTTAGGTTCACGGTAGTTTTAAATGTTATAAAGCATATTAAATATGGAACTAAATTATGCAACAAATGTTTTAAACTGTGCGCGCAAGGTGGAAACTTGACGAAATATTTTGTCACAAAGCGGATTAAATTATAAAAATATTTGTGGCAACACAACCTTTCTGATTATTATTTCAGAAAGCAGCTATATTATGTAGTCAGCTGTAAAAAGTTGGAAGTAATTGCTTTTAAAATAAATAAGTTATCCCAATTCTTGCAACAGTCACATATTCGAAGATCTTATGGGTTTTAAGGTGTGTGAGTCCCCTTAAAAGAGTGAATCCATATATATACATTTGGTGAAGCCAGTTGCAAACAAAAAGGTAGGGCACAGCTGTATGTTATAGCAGTCTCATATACAAAATTTTACGTTCTGAGGCTACTCATTTTTCCGTTATGCGAGCTACATACATACCTACGTATGAATGAACGTACAGGCGTTACGAAAAAAAAAAAAAACTCTTTTGAATTAGCTTTAGATGCATTTTACAATCCGTTTTAGTAAAAAGAGTGCTTTATTCTGTCCCTACACATAGATGTCAAGCACAAAAATCGTCCAAATGGATTCTAGAAATGTTAAATAGGATATTTCCGTTGAAATATGACACCCAAAATTTTTTACGATTATAATACTTTCTTTTCTTCGTACAAGGAAGTAATAGTCATTTTGTTGATAGTTAGTTACTAAAATTTGCAAAAACAAACAAAAAAAAAAAAAAAATTAAAAACACAAGTGTCCGAAACAAAGAATGTGTCACTGTAAAATCCTATATTTTTTTAGTGATAAAATTACAAGAATGGATTACTATTGCTCAAACGATTTTGAGGAGGCAACTTAAATTTCTGCCAAGACGAAAATGATCATAAGGAGAAAGATAGATAGACTATGACAGGATTTTGATTTCATGACCTTATAACTTTCTTTGTTTATTTTATAACTGGAGTTTTTTAAATTTTGTTAACACCCGAAATTTATAAAATTATATTTTTTTAGAATCTTTATTATTCTCAGAAAAGCACTGAAAATGAATACATCCATGTTATGCAATTTATGTGAAAAATGGAAACAAAATCATTAGTCCAGTGAAATTGTTTAATTATAAAATAGTTTTCCTTCATATCATTTTAGGTAACAATAAAAATAGAAATAAAGAAATAATGCTTAATTTTTTATTTTAAATTATTAGTTCTATCGTTCACGTGGTATTC